AAAACTGCAAAAAAAAAATACCAACATTTTAACAGAATCATAATACAAGCTGAAAAAAAACTAAGGTAAAATATGAAAGATTTACAAGGGGAATCCTGAAAAAGAACAAGGGTAGTAAGTATAACTATCTCGGTGGAGTAAGTGTCTTCTGCTTCATCAACGACACCCGCTTTGTAATTATTGGTCAATGTAAGTAAGCGATGTCATGTTCGCTTTTTGGGTGATTTATAGATTCTTTTTTCATAGCTTTTTCACGATAACATATTGCGGTGAAAAAATAATCATGTATTCGAGGTGAAAACCTATATGTTATATAAACGAAGTGAAATTCTACATTAGCTTACCGTCATCTTTATCCACAATACGAACAAGGCTTATAAATGAGTATGCTGTAAATGATTATTTCGATTTACCTATTATGAAATTTCTATTAGTTTAAACATTATATATTGCCAAAAGATATACAAAGGATTAGACACAAATTTCTATTTCTATATAGTAACCGTCTTTCTTCCCCAACCTTCATGTATGTTGTTAGCATGTCGTAGTTAATTCAATATTCATGGGTTTGTTCTTAGAATCAAAATTTAATCCGAAAATTGTCAACAGCTGACCTAGACTTACATTATAGAATTTCGAAATACGTATGTCGATGAAGAAGATTTATGGTCATAGCAATGGAGGATATTCATTTCCTAACTGGACATGAAGCAAGATACGTTCGATGCTAGGTACATTTTCAATGTTTTACATATGTTAAACAGGTACTCACATCACTTACATTGAATGATCAACGGATGTAGTCAATGAAGTAGAAAACCCTCCTAGGACATCTGATCTTATTCTCTTTGTGTTTTTTCATCCGTGTAACCTGACGCTATCGAAATTGATACTGTACTCAGTTACTACTTGATAATTTTTTACGGAAAAAAGATGAATAAAGGCGTTAGTTCAATTTAGAATGGGGTATGGTGATGTAGAGGGTGGAAAAATAAGTTGTTCTTATAGAAGAAAGTTTTTTAGAAGAAGTTGTTAAAGATTGGTCAAAAGATCTTTGGTGTTCTTCAAAATCCCCATACTGTTAATTCCACTTCTAGAGTAAACAGTATCAAAATAAGACTGTAATTCAGATTTGCTAGTCCTTAGGATGGTGGTTAGTGTTAGTAGTTTAGACAAGGGCTTGATTGAACAGTTAGTCGAACCAGTTATAAAACGTTGTTTATATCGATTCTTGTAAAGTTTAGGAATCCAGTATCAACGAGGGTTGTCCATATCTTTATCATTAATAGGCAATTTGAATTATTGTAGTTCCAAAGTATGATGAGCTAACATTTCGTCTTTTGAAAGATTGAATAATGTATGGTGTTGTTTCCGTATCAAGCAAGCCCAATTCTTTTTAGTTTACTGGAAATGTAATAATGATTTAACATCAGGATCGATAAAAGCTGAGCTGTGTTTTGTTTTCATTTTTTATTTCAAGCTGCAAATTATTTTACGAACGTTGTACCGAATGGACTTGACCCACTCAGATTGAAAATCCAACGCAACATGTTCTCACTTCGCCCATTCTCAGGCATAGTTTTCAATAGAATTCATAAGTTTCTTGAAATTTACATTCCAATTAACGGAAAGGGTTTCACGATATTTAGGGCCTTTTATGAATAGGTCCCCTGGTTTAACATTTTGAATAATGCTTAAACCACCAGTGTCTTTGTGTTAAGTTGGATCATAATTATAAGTAAAAGTAGAACAAGAACAAGTTGACGAAGGACTAGTTCTAACATTCAGTTGCTGCAGCGTTTGTTAGCAATTGAAATGTTTTGATGCAATGGACTTGGGGTAACTGGAAGAAAAAAACGAGGGGTGTTTCTATTTTGAAAGTATGGTGAAATGTTGGCCTGAACAGACTTCTGGTGTAAAATATTGCTGATGTTAATAGCATCCACTCCCTTATTTACAAACTCAATATTCATGAACAGGCGAGTTGATGGAGGAACGCTGACAGGTTTAAAGAGCCTGGTTTGTGCCATATCATGAATAATTTTATGAAGTCTCCAAGATAGTTTCCACAGCTTACCTGAAGCAATATTTACTAACCAATTAAAACTTTCGTAGCACGGAGAAAGGAAGTAACTATAACGTAGTTCGACCATGATAGACACCTAGTGGTTTCTATAACGTATCCGTTAGATTTTCAAACATGACGGCATATCGCTAGATTTCATATATAGCCTATGTCTGTGGCTAAGATAACCTTTAGATTTGTGATTGAATAAAGCCAAAACGTTAGTGTTACTACATCCAGGACAGGACAAATTTCTTACAAAGTCGGGCGGTCATTGCAACCATAGGGCGCAGCAGTATCAGGCAGTCTAATATAGTGTCCTGCACGTTGTCTACGAAAGGATGTCCCAGTGTTGAGTCATTTGTATGGTGGTATTTTCCCCAAAATACGGACATTCATCGGCGGTATTTGATGGTCCGGGAGGTTGAAATGTTGTTACAAACACTGATTCTCTCCGCGGTTCACTGCTGAACGATCACCATTCATATGTTGTCCTATCTGTTCTTTTGTTTCAACAATACATACTAAAACATACAGAGCACACTCAATAACATCAACTATGTTGGTAGTTTTACAATTAGGGGCTCTAAGCTTCGAGTAGTATAGACTTTATTAGTCAGAGAACTATTGTAATTCGTATTAGTAATTAGACTATTGGAAATTTTGCATTTATTTTGATCCAGATTTTAAAATGTTGTGTCTGATCGACTAAATAAATTTTACATAGTTGTAATTTTGCTGATTTCGAATATTTATAGTTCAGAGTATTATCAGTGCATTGTGTAAAATTGATAATGCCCCTGAGGACAATCCGAGGGGTGCTCTGTATTTCATTGAATGTCTATAAATAGGTATGACATATGATATCATGTTTTTTCTCTTATTTGTGCTGACAATGACCCAATATTTTCAAAATAATGTACCATAAATTTGAATGGACATCATATAGAAAGTTTTATATATTTTACAAAATCTTCATCATATGCCAATGTAAAATATCCACTTGTTGGATATCACTTATATACACTATTTATGAACAGAAGACTAACATTTAAAATGTACGGAGGGACCTATATCTAGATAAAGATTTTAAAATATATTATAAACCTTAAAAATGAAAAGCCCTGAAAAACTATCAGATATCAAATTAAAACGTTTCACAGAAGTTACTAATTACAGTGAAAGCATGTTATATCAAATACCAGGTAAACAAATATAATGATGAAAACTTTGCAGGATAAAGATCTAACCTAACTAACCTTACCTAACCTAACCTCAATTAACCTAACTAAACTTAACATAATATAACATAGCACAACATTTTATATTTTGAATCTTTGTTTATATTGAATGTTTGAAAGGGATATTTTACTGGAATAATTTACATACATGTATATATAAGAGATGCCTGTATATAGTTTTTTCTTTCATTTTTTTCTTTTTGCCATCGTTTCATCAATTTTGAATTTGAAAAATTATTTTTTTAACAAGTCGACATTTTCTTATTGTGAACAGTCAAATTCATATTATAAACGAAATCTTGTCAAAGAGAATCGCATACATCATATGATCAAAGTCTCATAAAAAACATATGTTCAACATGACTTTTTTACTTAATGAAGTCAAATTCTAATTATATATACTATATTACCAAAGTAAGACACTATGTATCCAATTCCTTATCCACAAAACAACTACGACAGTTTGTATAGAAGAATGTTAATATGTGTGTTTTTTTTCAAACAACACGTTCTTCTACAGTGGATATAGAGGACTGCTATAACTGTTCAAACGATTCTTTGTGACGTATGTGCTGAATTGAAGGTATCCAGTGCCGAAGAGAAAATGTTCTTAATTCTATCCTTACTGGTTGGGAGTATTGAGATGAAAAAGAAACAGAAACAATCCATTTGAAAGAAGATTTAGAATTGACTGAGAGCAGTATGTATAGATATTATATGATAATTCAAAATATGTCACCGTATCCTGTGTATAACTTATTCTATCCACATTCCCAATGGTAAATAAATTTAAATGCAAAATGAAAAGTGCATTTGTATATGAATTTAAGAAAGAAGTACTACTGAACCAGTCATATAGATGAACTTCAAATATTTTGATGAAAAGTGCATCGTATATCATGCACCTGCCAGACGGAAGAAATTGCAATATGAAAATGATAAATGCCAATCACAATCATCTGAGCTGAGGCAAATTAAATATGCAATCAAAAATAACAAATTTCGTGTTTTTTAAGTTGCTTTATTAATAGAGAAAAATGCAAAATGTTAGTATTAATTGCGTAATACGTTATAATTCAATTCATAAGAAGGGGATATTGCTATCTAAAACGTGTTTTAGAAAACAATATGATTTCTGTTTTGTTTGTAAGGAATGATCAGCAATTTCTTGTCATGACAATTTATTGGAGTTTTAAAATCAAACTTTATATATTTTTCTGTCGTTTGCCAATATTGAAAAAAAAAATTATAACTGTAATTGCAAAAAAGAAAAGAAACAAATTTTATTTACATCTGATTATGTGAGAGTAATAGGTAAATGATAAAATATATTTAAGCAGAATAAAGGGAATATATATTTTCTTTTTTTCAGGAATGCACGTTAAAGATCGATCATAAAGCGTCGCTAATCCAATCTTATTCTCCAATCCCTGATACGTTCTTTATAACTTTATACATTCGAAATAAGTTACCTTGGAAGGTAATTGTATCAATACATCTGAGAAACTTTATACGTGATACACAAACACATGGAAATATTTTTTTATGTATCCAAATACACGTAATATATTAGTGGTCACTTGCTGTCATATTGTCTAATATCTAACGATCAGAAAATTTGAAAACGTAGCAATTTGCTTGAAATAATAACAGTTTTAACAGTCTTCTTCGATATAGGAAGACAGACCATACCATCATGTAGGGAATAAGATATCTTTAACGGCATTAGCTGTTCTTTGGAAGAGTCCACTGGGAAGGTTCTTGGTCAGTCGTTTAGGAGGGATTCTGGATTGTTGTTTAGAACATTCATTTCTTTCTTTACGCATCACATTTAAGCCATTCCTACAATTACATCAAATGATTTCTATTTATATACAGAAAGCAATTACAATCATTATATTTCTTTATACAGATAGCAATTTACAATGAAGCATGTCAAGAGCAATTCAGTTTGCGCTTTTCACTTTTAATTCCTCGGTATACTCCGTTGGTTGGTAAAAATACTAAATGAGAGCTGTTACTATTAAGTGATATCAAATGGCTGATGTGGGTTTTCAAAACGAAATTACAATGCCGCTTTATATTTATGAACTACAGAGTAGTCGACATATTCCTTACGTTTGGTATTACACCACTGTATTTTAGGAGCTCCTCGTCATTTACAGGAACAGGAACACTTCTCTTCCGTCTCCGCTTTTTCAACTGTAATATACATTGTAAATGTAAAGACATTTTGCCGAGCAGATAATAATTCAGTTTGAATTATGCTGTAACAAAATCAGGGATGAAAACTACATTTCTTAACTCTCCTTGAAATTGCAACACAATCATCACAGCTATATTGGCTCGTTACTTCTAGAAAATCTATATAAGGCTATTAAATTAATCTATTGAAATTATTATTAAATCTTTTTATTCACAAAGTACAATAATCCATATATATATATATATATATATATATATATATATATATATATATATAATCATTATTATTACAAACGCACATTAATACACATTGACACATATACACAAGTACACCCTCACCCATACAAACATACCTGCTCTCACATTCATGTACACTGTATATGTATGCACGCAACACATACATACATACATGTCTCGATATAGTGTCATTTTATATTTTGGTGTCATGATATTGACTATGGCGTTACGTCATGATTTGAAAATGGCAACAATTTTGTCGTATGCAGTTTGACATTAAAACCCGTCAAAATGTAACTGTGTTCTTCAATAAAACAGTTTTCATATAAGATTTTATGTTAACAATAAAATATCATAGTCTAATTAAAAGACATCAAATTGAATCAATTAATTATGTTATACCTATCATTTATCGCACAATTTCATTGATATTCAGTGATTATATCCATGAAATATCTTTGCGCATTATATGGAAACGTGTGGAATATAATGTATTATGACGTCAGACTCGCATGACAATGGCGACCATACATAGGAGCCGAAATGACTTTGACGTGGAAAGTCCGCTTTCTACATGATATCTATGAATAATCCATGTATTAAGGAGACTATTTGATAAATTTTCATTTGATAAGTGATTTAGAAAACTCATCACATTTAAAAACCTTTCTAGAATTAAAGAATCGTTCCATTTTCAATTAGGAATTATCAGATAAAAACTCATGTACGGCCCAGTATAAAATATTTTAATCATAAAAACCCGTACACGCTTCCTATTTCATTTTTATTGTAGCGTTTCCGTGCCGTTTGCGTATTAATACCGAAACATTACCGTACAATGCCGTAGCATTTCTGTATCAACCCTGTAATACATGTACTTCCATAGCAGTTGTTGACTCGCCGGCTTCCAACTTAAAAACCATTTGTGAAACATTCGGTAGAAACTTTTACGAATATGCCTTTTATGAAAACCGTTAAAATCTTTCTGTACACAAAAGATGATTTACCATATGATGAATTAGTTGTTTCCAATATCAAATCTATAAATATAATCTATAATTAATGGTTTCGACACAGTTTGCATGTGTATGTAAAATTCGAAAGAACATTACCTTAACAATAGCCGTTAACCTGTTTCTCACAACCGTGAATATTTGTTTCTAGTGTAATGGACATGTGAGCGGTGATAAGATAATTGCTATTCCATATATAATTATTGAGTGGGGTGAATTTGTGTATGTCGTTTCTGGCCCCGGGCCCGATACCCGTATCAGATATTAAGAAATAATTCATATCTCTAGAACAAACAAATAACGAACCGCAACTTTTTTTTAAAGTAACAATGCTAATGAATAATTGATGGATAGTTGAGGATGTTGCGTTTCTTTCGTGTGTTTGTATATCTATGATGACCTATGATGATTTACAATCAAAGCATCAGTCGGACTACATAGAGCTGTCAATATAGCAACGACAAGTATTAGAAAAAAAATACTCCATCCGGTAAATACGTTTTTTTGGAAAACATAAAGGAAGTTTATTTCTTAGAAAGATAAGAAAACAAAATGAAATTTCGATGGTGGTGTGGATTGTAAAATGTAACTGGGGCAAGGTAATTGCAATTACAAAAAAAACTTACAACACTGTCATCAGAATTGTTTGATTCTCTGTCAACCAGCAGCTGAATCAAGTCCAATAACCTCGTCTTTGCTCTACTCATGATCTATAGTACAACAGAAAAACCAAAAGCTTTAAAACAACACAGTTTTAGAGTTTTAACAGTTAGATACAGTAGAGTCAAACAATGATGTAAATTGAATCATACAGCTGTTTCGTGCTATAGGACTCATCACATTTGTTAAGGGCCTAAACTTTGAAGCCTAGGAGGCGACTGAGGAAATCCAGGTGCATTAGCTCAATAATTCAATAAATTTCAATTTTTTCATATATAAGATAATTTTTAAACAACGTCCGATATAAACAAGTACACAACAACTGTTTCAGGACGGGAAATGTCTTCAACATTTGTCAAAGACAAACGACAATAATGCACAAGCAACAGAAAAGAGAGGGTACCAGAAAAAGGGACCAAAACAATTGATTTTTTTTAAATCCATTGCATTATACTGCATTTAACTCAATTATGATATTTCAGATATCAGCTCAGGATGAAAAGAACAACTATAGGACACAGATTCATCTAATTCAGTCAGGTGATTATACAGAACGCAGGTAAAGAAGGAATCGTAATTTTGTTCGCTTCTTATGTAAAACATCTTTACATAATTTCTAATTAAGCAATCAACTCAATCTACAGCAAAAATATCAGATAAATGCTGATGAAGCATAAAACGTGCAAAGGCGAATATTACATGAATACGGGGAAAACCAACAGGAGCGAAACCCATTTGCTCCAAAGATGTAATGCTGTATGTGTTTGCATGATGATACCATGCAATAGTTATACGTACCTGCTGTCTCTCTTGGACCGATCTCTTTGTCTGTAAATCAGATGAAGGCTGCCTTTAAAACATGGTCGTCATACAAACTGATAATCCTCATTCAAATTCTAAAACTACATCTGATTTAAAAGACATTCATTCCTCCATGAAGTGTTTGGGAATAAATAAGCTTCACAATAACAAATTCTGCCATGTCTGCAGTATATGTTAACATAAACATGATATGGCGTCTAGATAACAACATGTTTACTATCAAGTAATAATGAAGAGATTAATATTTACGAACAAAAAACGTACATAATTACAAATATGAGAAAAACGACAAAATTTTGTCTCAGATCAGATTAAGATTTTGAAGAATTACAATGTTCGGTTGGTAAAAACTTTTGTATCCGGACCTACGGAACTCTTAGTAAGAGTTCAGTCAAAAGTTGTTGCGTATATGGGTAATATTCTATGCACTGTACCAGCAAATTATTGTCGTTTCGGATGCTTTTTCCAGACACAGGACATGAATGGGCGAAATTGAGCGATTTTTATTTCTATTGGCATGCCAGAGGTAGGGGTTTCTTAAAACATGACAAGACAGTTTGTTATGTACATCGATATGATTTAATACGATAAATGCTTTGGGGAAGTATTTAGAGCAGACGAGTACGGTGTGAGACTGTCCATGAGCAGTACGCCGACGTGCTCCTCTACACTGAATGCTGTAAGACGGATCACGCTTATCAACATACAGTTTTGTTTCAAGTAAAGTCGAGTTAAATTAACCGTCTAGTGCAAGAGATGTCCGTAGTGTTTTTCATAGATAAATTCAGATTTCACCTGGAAAGTAATTACAGTCCTGCTAAGGTATAATTATGGTGGGATAATTATGGTCTTTAGTGTCATTACAAGGTACGGATGGCAACTTGACAGGCGTGCGTTGCAGTGACGGAATTATACGTCATCATATTCTTATCTTATTCGTAATATCCAGCGTGACTTTATTTTGCAGCAGAACAACGCACGACCCAATACTGCATGTGTTGTTAGGGAATTAACATAGCAGCAGACGAACAATAAGATAGTCACGTGATAAACTGACCGGGTCTGACAGAGGAATAAGAAAGAAACGCTTTCCAGCGTCGCTTTAGTTGTCTCATATATATAGTAGGAACGGCGTCACAGTAGTGATTCCATTGTGTCATATGATATACAGGACATTTGAGCACTCCCTATCATATCCTAGGTTTCATCACATGTATCATTGACCTACATAAGGAATTAAGTCTCTGTAAACCTTTAAGTATCTTACAACAAGAGATTTCCTTATTAAATGTAGTGTTTTGACAAAGATATCATTGGTTTGAAAAAACGAGTTAGTAATATTTTATGTCTGCTGATATGTTGTAATGATTTTAGAACATCCTAGGCCTAAGGAGTTACAAACAGATGCCGTTTTGACTATGTAAACAATGTGGGTGATGTGGCATGCCGCAAGCCTAATTATGCGATAATAACGTTGCTAAATCAACATTTTAAGATAACAATATTCAAAACTATCATACCGAGGCCTGTGGTTTGGGAGGAAGATAATTCTCCCTTACTGCTTCGAAACAATCACTGTTTGGGTTTGTGGAGCCCGAAGCCTTGATTTTAATTTCACGGCAAATTTCATTCTTGTCTGTGCAATATTTCTTGTTATCATCCACATTCTGCCCGACAACTTTCACAAGGACAATCCTGTACACACAGTGAAAAGTACGTAATCATAGTTTTTCTGCTTGAGAAATGTTGCAAAGGGAAATAACAATAAATAACTATTATTGAGATATGTAAACTTCATTTCTCAGCATTTGTTTTTTCTTTGTTGAAAATATTCCTCGATAATTAATAGTGGCATATCTTACGGAATCTACTAATAGGTTTTAATTAAGGTTTTAGAACCTAGTAATAGAGTTTAATTAAGGTTTTAGAATCTAGTAATAGAGTTTAATTAAGGTTTTAGAACCTATTAAAATGGTTTAATTAAGGTTTTAGAACCTAGTAATAGGATTTAGTTAAGGTTTTAGAACCTAGTAAAATGGTTTAATTAAGGTTTTAGAATCCAGTAATGGGGTTTAATTCGGGTTTTAGAACCTAATAAAATGGTTTAATTAAGATTTTAGAACCTAGTAATAGAGTACTAGATTCCTTAAGATATGCCACTATTAATTATCTGGGTACATGAATATCGTATATAATTCCTCGCACTTTTCTCTGTTATTATACTCATACGAGTCTATAATATAGCGACGAAATCACTGATTTCAACCCATCAAAATACTTACCCTTTATTTTTATCATGGTAATATTTGTTCTCCGCACTTTCGAGTAGTTCATTGTATGTCTGTGCTTGAGGTAACGAGACATCTTCGCTGTTTTTAATCTTCAGAATGGCATTTGTTTTAATACACACGCCGATGACAAATTTCTTACTGGCAATAAATGTAGAATAATGGTCCTTTGATAATTACAAGTAAAACAGTGTCAACATTATATCCATATTAACAGATGAACGCTTTTTTCATTTACACTTTACTCGAAAAAATTATCTGATTTATAATCGTATGTTGTATTAAATATATCAATCAAATACGAAACATGAGATAATCTGAATAAGTACTTTACCCTTTATTGGGTTCTGAAGTTCTAAGCGTGAACCATTTATCATGATCATCATGACGAACAAAATAGTGGTAGTTCGGATTGTTGACGATGACGTTAAATGGAGTATTTTTTAGAGACTGGGCCTTGTCAAGTTCCACTTCTTCACCTTTATAATCGAATCTAACCACGGTTGCATCCACGTTCAGTGACACCTACAACATGTTCATTTGTGTTACTTAAGGTAGGGAGTCCCACTACCCAATTATGCACCTCTTTTATCAGTTGATACGCATTTAGTAGATTTTGATAGAAATACTTAGGTCAAAGTGATATAACAATTGATGTTTTTAAAACAGTCGTGGCTTCATTGTTTATATTGTGACAGAATAAGTGAAATGGAATCATATCTATATGATAGCATTACAAAATAAATAAATATCACTTTCAGTCGTACTATATGGAATATCTGAAAAAAGGTATAACTCCTAAAAACACGCTACTTAAACATCATTCTTATTCTCTTTATCCTTTTGTTTAGAGTGTCGGTGGAAATCCTTCTTTTATTTATAACATACCCACGTTTTATTGAATTTGAGTTTGGATTATGATTATGTTGACATGTTAGTACTTTCTTCCTGTTTTCGTACATGATAAGATGATATCTTGTCAGAAAAAAATTAGAATATCTTAGATACAACAGAATGATGTCGCAAGATTAACATGCAAGTGAAAGAACTCTCTCAAAAAAGTTAACTAAAACCCAGGGCAAAAAAAGCCCGAGACGAACACTAATTTCTCTGTCTAGTGATAAGAATATTGGGAAATATGCAGTGTACATATCTTGAACTGAGACTGATAGGTAATATCAAGTCCCGTTGATCCTATAAGGGTAACATACTGGTTTATGCTATGCTATTTTACTACAGATCTATATTTATCGAACACGTAGACTTTACCATTGCATAACTTTCGTGACAGATGGCATACTCTTTCCATTTTGTTCTCCTTTCGCAATTTCCTGTAACCTGAAATGCCGTGTTTCTGAGAACAGTTGCTTTTGAACCCGTGACATATTTTTCATCGACAAATGATTCCACAATATTCCCTGTTTGGTCGTTCGTAGTATTAGCACTTAACACTCGATTTCCTTCAACGGGCTGTTGTGAATGTCAATAAAAAAGATATATGTTAAACACTGGCATGGACACACATATATGAATTAACAAAACATTTATATCATTAACTATATTTCAAGTTGCTGAAACGGTATTTATGTTTTTTACTGATGTCAATGGATAGCGTTGAGATTAAGGGTTATTGATAATTTACGTTTGACGGAATGGATAAATATGCTCCGGTAGTATTATTTTGGTTCCGAAACAACTCCAATCTCAGACAACATGAGCAGTATAAGTATCCATAATACTAAGAATATGCAAGAAGTAAAACATATCGTTTCATTAGTCTTTTCCGTATTAGGGAACATTGATAATGAAAGCAAATCTGTTGACCGGATTTAACGGATGTATGCATTAAAGGTATACATACGTCTTTAAAACCGAAATAGACGTCTTCGCCGAAATAATTGCTTGCAACTGGATCTTTGTTCTTTCCTGCAAAAGCGATTGCGCCAGAGCGGTGCACGGTGGATGGGTAGAAGTCATCGAAATATACCTTGATCACATGTACAGGTCCGGCAAACTGCAGCCCATAGCTAGGATCGGTGTCACTAAAAAGTTAAGAAATCCAACCTGTAACGGATAACTGGCTATATGTCGAACTTATACATATTTTTGTAAAATACATGTGTGTTGATACAAGGGACAGATGATATTTGCATTCTTAATTTTAATGCAATGAAATGCTTTCGTATGGAACCTTTGAGGCGAAGTGTGTTTACTTCTTATGCATTCAAAATTCTTTAGTGTTATTTAGATATGATGTCAATAGTTTACAAAATTATAACAATATTTCAAACAATTGAAACTGAAGACGGTTTTTCTTAAATAACTATACCGAACTCGCCAAAATACTAACCTATTTCATCTAAATTATCGTTAAATACATGGGTCAACAAGCTTTTGGAGTTACTACTCGATCGTATACTCCAATATTCGATTGCTAAATCACTACCTTCGAACATCTATTTTAATTGGCATATTACTTTAAACTGAAAACACATCGAAGTTTAAAAAGAAATATTATCATTACGTGTAAACCGATCAGGTTATAGTTAGCTCTTTATGTGCTATGAAAAGTAAACATACTCTGAATCCTCCTTTTTATTTGATTCACGATTACCAAGAATGATGGATTGCTCTATTCTTTGTGTGTAACGCGGCATAGTCGGTTTTCCTTCTCCTCTGCAATAAAATAAAAAATATCATTATGACCGTGTTCTTCAAGAACATACGCAGGAAGTCATAATCAACATTGTTTAGTTGTTTTAAATCATATCATGTAAATTCGGAAAATGACAATGGACATTTGAAACTGTATCTTTTTATCTATTTAATTTTATTCATTTATCTATTAAATGTCATCACAGTTACGGTAAAATCAGACAGTGAGAGAGAAGGGAAGGAGAAAAGGGAAGGAGAGAAAAGATATATAGATATAGACGAATAGTGATAAACAGAGGGACACATATAGATAGTCATAGATCGACATTGAGAAAGTCTGACTGAGAGTTATAGACATTTTGAAAAACACAGACGGACGGACGGAAATAAAGACCCACAAACCACGCAAACAGAACGACGGGTATGCAGACAGACAGACAGACGGGTGTATGGATGGATACATAGACAAACGGGCAGACAGACAAATACACATACAGATCAACTGATCCAGAAAAAAACGGACTAGCGGACGTCCACACAGACAGACAAACAGTAGTGATTAAATAAACAGAACGAGTTTTTTTATTAATAAAGATAATAAACAAATATTCACTACTTTATGTTGCATGGTACAGAAAACACATACCTGGAGTTGATATTGGAAAAGAAATCCAAGTGCTCTGATTACCACATTGACTCGTGCAACTAATTCAATCGCATATAATTATGGGAATACGCAGCATTTTAGTTTACAACATTAATATTGAAGTTCAATGTAAGTGACAATTGTATAGATTCAACGAAAAGCACACGACAAAGGTTGTAAACCTATAGCCTCGTCAGAACTTAAACACGTGTATGTCAGTACATATGGGGATAGTGCACCTCTCCGTCTAGATTTTGAACTTTCTTTTCGTCAGTCGCCTCCAAGGCTTCAACATTAAGGCCCTTATCATCACTAAATAATCCTAGAAAGACGAAACAGCCGTATGATGCAGTTTGATATATTGTTTGTCTCCACTTTATGCCACTTTAATGTTGTATTAAAAGGTGCTTTCACTTACATGTCCTTTGTACAATCTTTGACGACTTGTGCCATTGTGATTAAGTTAAAAGTAGAAACAATATGCACAAATCACACGAATAACATGATATGACACGATATACCCACCGCTTTAGTTCTATTCCTTTCTTGTTCTTTGCGACCCTATGGGAGGGAAAATAATAAATTCAATGTAAGTAACACTGAATTTTCAAATGTAAGAAATCAAATCAACACGGAACGATGACTACATCCTTGAAAACACAGAGAATGCATCATCCCAATCCTGTGTAATTAAGCCGAATATTAGGATGAAAGCTCTAAACAGACGGATACAAGTAAAAACCACCATTTCATTTATATTTAATAGTTTCAGATATGAAGAGAACAATATATTAGACTTCAAGACAATTTGATGAATTGATACATAACATGATATTAATTTGAAGAACAGAGAACGCCAGAAAACTTTAGAAAACTTGTATTTGTTTGACGTTCGTTAGTACAATGTATGTCTTTTGCTGTTGTTGATGTTTACCTTGTTATCATTTGAGAAAGTTAATATGATTTAGCAAGTTTTAAATATTTTACCCTAGTTTCATCGTTTTTGAATTTGAATTGAAAGATTCTTTTGACATGTCGCTGGAATCAACAACTAACAAAAGTTTTTTTTCATGTAATGAACTATGAGGTTACTGCGCATCCCAATCCAGATTTGAAATTTGTGTTCTTTTACATCACAGGCACTTACTTAATATGCTTCATTAAAACTTTTCCCGCCTTTACAACGATACCCACTCCTCCATTGCCATATACTGAAATAGTCCAAAGGAAGCGAAGTCAAACAAATCCTACTCATATCAATAATGACATTTAATCTGGATATCTAAATATCATAACATGATAGCACCTTCAAGACCAATAGCAGTTTTTGATTAAAATTGAACAAATGAAGTAGAATATCTGTTGTTTGATATCTAATACTCCCGTTCACAATACTGAATAAATAAGTGATCGATTATAGATAATAGTAAGAAACCAAGATTGAAATTACAGGAATCAATTATTGTAAGTTCGTTTCGTCGAGCTTTGTAAATGGATATCTGATAAATTTGTGCAAAAAATGAAAACGAACAGTGCCAACTTTTTGAGTAACATGTTTTCTTGTCATACTAGGCAGAAGGTTTAGAAATGAAAAAAAACGACCTTGCTATGTTTTCATTCAATTGTTTATTTCCAAATACATATTCATAGCAAGCTGTCTAAAAGACTAGATATCAGTGATATATAATCAAAGATATATCTGTCATTGTTTACATAATCCATTACATATGCGTTACATGTATTCGTTCAAGCATATGACAAAATTTATGTCAATATCTCCATCATTTCATATCTAATTTATCAATTTTGCCACCCTTTTGTTATGGTTTTATTAAAATTATCATCTTTCGGTACACTTAGCCAGTTGCAAGATTTAGATATTGTTATTTTCAAGTTCATGGCTAAACCCTTTTTAGTTAAATATTTAGACTCACCAGTTAAGCAGCTGAGCTCGAGTAAGTCTAGATCAGATGTGCTGTTTTTGGGTTGGATACGTGGGTGATATTCACCCATTGGCGTGATTGTCAGGTCCTCCTTCATATTATCACCAATTCGTAATCCATCCTTTACAATTGTAATATCAGTATTATTAAATGGAAGATAATGTTACAAATTCAGTAAAATACCAGACATTTATGCTGAAAATAAGACGTCGAGAGCAATTGATGTGTAACAAGTTTGATGACTGGTAAGAAATGTTTTCTTTAATGGCAATTTAAGCAATATAATGGGGAATTCAGTTTGTTGCATATGATTTCATTACAAATAGCACAATTCTACTTATCGTATACAACACAGCATAAACTATTGCATGCTTAAGCATTTGTCTCGTATCACTGAATGCAGCAAATTCTTAAAATTTGTCTTGCATCTTTAACATAACGTTTTATTACAAAGTAGTCTCCAATTGCATCTTTTCGTGTGCAAACAGAATTTACATCATCCTCAAGTTTGACAGAAGCGAAAAATGTCTCTTCTTTTCCTTCGTCAGGTTTTGTATAGTTCATTTCCAACGCACATGTTAATCCCTAATTAGAAAGTTCAATTTTTGTTAGGCAAGAATACTAGTTAAACAACCAAGTAAACCAAATCTTCACTTTGATACTTAGAATTTATCAAACAGCCTACAATATATTCAAAGTATTTTTGTTTATTGTATTCAATCAAGTCCTGGCTGTAAATCCAGTTCCTCCTCAATAATCGATTAATTTGGTAATTCATCTCAGATAAAACAATGCTTTTGTGATGGTAAAACTTTTCACTAAAAGCTTAAAAAGAAACAAACATATTACCCCATAGTTATTGTAAATTGTATTCCCCTTGAACAGTGCGACTTTGGTTCTGCGAGCTTCTCCCTTCTCCAAGATCTTTTGTGGGATTTTTGGACCAGTTGGTAATTCCGGAAATGCGAAACAAAATCCATACTGGAACATATTTAGATAGAAATTCAACATGCAGTTTTCTCTTAGTAATAAAAGTAACATACATTAATTCCATATTTTACATTTTTCAGTCGGTTAGAACAGTAACTATGATAACATACAAATATATGTGATATATCAGAGTAATGTGATATTCATCTGATTTAAACGATCACCATAACTGTAAATAATTTCACATTGTAATTATTGTTTGAAAAGATTCAGTTCTTCAAATCTTGTGTGACTAGCAGTACCTTCAATCGTAAGTCTTATAGGTGACGTTATTACTTATCGAAAATGAGCAATGTCTTAACCTTTCAAATGATATTTAAGTTAATAGCCACTACGCGCTTAGATGGACAGTGGTTAAAAGGACAAATAGAACAGGAGCACATCGAAGATCAAATACATTCAGTTGTATCAGTGATTGTATAGACGTACTGTGTTTGGAGTGATTAGAAAATGGCAGGGGTAGTTCTGTGATAGACGGATGCTTAAATAAACGCTTCGAGGGATTCCTTGTGTTAAATAGTACTGATCTTGATAGCAAATACTTCCTCCTTATTTGAAAATTGGCTTTCATAAATAGCCAAGATGCTGGGTTACTCAGGCTTTCCATAACGACGAGTATAAAATCCGAATTCGGCACACATCATCAATAATTTTGGTAAGTATCCAAGTTTGTTTCCAAAGGTCAAATGAATACAGAATAGCGTAATTACAACATTATATACACCTTTTGGTTTCTGCAAGAACTTCAACTTGACAGTGCATTTGGTAAGTTGCATTGCCGCTTTCCGTTGAGGAGTAAATAAAGTCATGACGGAACTAGACAAATGTCCAACGGTTATTGAAATCATATGGCATAGGTGACTCATAAAGTCCTGATCGCACTGCTTACAGTACTGTCCCATAGGGTTATCAGCATGCTTGTTATTATTCAAGATAAGAACAAACATCGACATATAGAATGTCCCTTCTTTTCACCAATATGTGATAAATACTTACTTCATTTTATCGTTCTGCATTCGAAATTGTTAAACATTCAGCTGATTAATGAAACAAACATTAATTTGCGGGGATTTAGTTGTGCTCAGGTGTTGGATAGTTATCATTAGAATCATTATCAGAGCGCTGCACAAAAACATCTTTGACAATCTATGGGATTCATTGCATTCCAATTATAGTCTGTCCACATTGTGATTTATTGAGGATTTTTTTATACTAAACGCCAGCGGTAAGTTTCTAATCCATACTATTAAAATGCTACTGACCAGGTGTTCCGGAGGGGGAAGCGTAGGGCATGTTAATATCAGTCAATCTACGTTTGCCCTGTTACTTCCCAAAATATGAAATGGATAGTTTGCAATAAGGAATCTGAAGTCATCCCTGTCTATTTGCAAGCTGAAACAAGTTGGAAATGTTGAAGAATAAGATTGACATACCTGTGCTGTGTGGCTTATTCAATGTCATAATAGAGGACTATAAGGTCTTAACATTTCTACTTGTGTTATGTAACTTATTCAATGTGTCTTAATTAAGGTCTATAAAATCTTAAGGCTTCTTCTTGTGTTGTATGACTTGTTAAAGATCTACCGATCTCAGGATTTCTTCCTATTCTGTGCGACTCATCCAATGTCGTAATGTATGTTTATATGTTTTCAAGATTTTATTCTGTGTTTTGCGATTCCTCCTATGTCTTCATACAGGAATATTTGCGTACAGGACCTTTTACTTTGCTGTAAACTCCTCCTAACTCATATTCATTGAACTATTTTCATGCAATCGTAACGAGCTACCAATCTGGATTAACATTGCGGATATAATCGATGAAACAGAAGACGTTTACTCATCCTGAACACCTGGTCATATAAGCGTACATTTTCTTTTTATCACATTTCTCCCCAGTTTAACTAGATTCGAGTTTGGATTTTGATTATGTTCTCATAATTTCAGCGAAAAAAAAATATTGGTCATAATACAATGTCAATCTTCTGTCAAATAAAAAGAATGTGAGTATTGTCGTGTAGATTTTGTGCCTCGTCACAAAGAATAGATATATACAGTAGATAAAACATTGTATATACCGATATCAGGATATGATAAAACCAATCATATATACAGATGACTTCTATGAGTTTCTATCTTATTTACGATTTACTTTACTGTTCTACGAAGTTTTCATTTTACCAAAACTATGAGGAGATAAAATGAAAAACCTGTGACGAGTGTCATGAATCTTATGTGTTATGGATACAAATTTGGATTTTTAAAAATTCTTATTACTTGGATGTAAACATGTCTAAAAAACATCTGTTTACCAGATTGATATAAAATATATTCTCATTTTCTTTCTCTTTCTGGATGAGTAACAATATTTCTTACGTCATTCAGCTAACAATCGGAACGTTTAAACCAATCACAGTTCCGTTACTAGGTTTTCTGACATGTTTTGACATAACGAATTTTACGTATAGAAAATACATGGTCAGTGTCTTAAAATAGCAGCTGTAGTTTGGCGATAGCGAAAAAAGACAACAGTTGCGAGCTTCTGACCATGTATTCAATCTATCCTGTAACATTGATTGAAAATCAGACAATCAAATCTTCAACAGTTGTGTTTTTCAATCTTTGTTTACACGTCGTTGACATTACGCTGAATTTTGCCTGGTGACATACGCCAAAATAATTGCTCCGCGCAGAAAAGTAGTTCCAAACTTTAACGGATATGACAGCGATTTTATGAATTTTCATAAATAAACTTATTCATTACAACATATTAAATCACTTATTTCAACAGTTATTTATTTTATCAAACGTTATTTCAAAATAAATTCATAAATCAATCCGGCGAATTTTCGCACGTGCTAAAAATACAGCTGTTTTCCGTCACTGCCGAATACAGCAAAATATAAGTGGCAGGTGTATTCCGACAATGGCAGTGCCAGTTACAGGATAAAATGTATTATTATAAATATAACCGAATATAAATGTGAATATCTAAATACGCTTACGTGAGATCCCACTACGGTGTTGTCTACAAATGAATTCCTTGGATGGGTAACTAAAACTCCACATGGCTTACTGCAAATATAATGTATTAGTTAGCAGTAATACGAAGGAATAGTGTTTTTAACATAATGATATTAAAATTGTACTTTCTATGTTGTGTTGATTTATGCCTTACAAGCCATATGTTTCAGTTAACATGTAAGATGTGTAACCTAATAAAAAGACAAAGATGAAATCGCAATGCAAGTGGTAATGTTACTTGATTACAGACTGACTTTTATTACAATGGCATATGTAAATAACTAGCGACATTCTGTTTTTTATACAATGGTATGTGTAATTGAATAGAAACAGTTAGACATTTACACAATGGCATTTATAGGTAACAAGCATTAGACTAGGTTGCTTACAATGAAATATGTATGTAAATGTAACAAGTCATATTTTATGTAACTATCAGTGAACTGACTTGTGTGTAAGTAGCTATCAGTGAACTGACTTGTGTGTAAGTAGCTATCAGTGAACTGACTTGTGTGTAAGTAGCTATCAGTGAACTGACTTGTGTGTAAGTAGCTATCAGTGAACTGACTTGTGTGTAAGTAGCTATCAGTGAACTGACTTGTGTGTAAGCAGCTATCAGTGAAATGACTTGTGTGTACGTAGCTATCAGTGAAATGACTTGTGTGTAAGTAGCTATCAGTGAACTTTCTCTCAGTAACTACCGGTGAAATGTTGTGTTTATGTTATTGTCAGTGAAGTGATTGCTGTGTAAGAAACTACCAGTGAACTGACTTGTATCTAAGTACATTGTAACTACCATTGAACAGGCGAGCCTCTAAGCAACACCAGTGACCTAACGTATGTAGCTAGTGGTCACTTACATACGTTGGTAACTTCAACTGAACGGTTGTGTTTAAGTAACTTTCAGTGAACTGATATGCATGCACGTAACTACTAGTGATTTGATTTGTGTTAACCTTACTATCAGCGAACTGAATTGTGTGTAAGACTCTAGCGTGCTATTAACCACTAGCGACATGTTTTGTGTGTAAGCAACGACCAATGAACTGACTTGTGTCTTTATGTGAGTGTTCGTTCGTGCGCACGTACGTGTGTACACGCGTTCGTGCGTAAGGGTGCGTGTGTGTGGGTGCAGTGTGTGAGATGGTGTGTTGTAGCGGGTGATGGTGTGTGTGTGTATGTATGCATGGTGGTGAGTATGTGTGTGGTGGTGGTGGTGGTGGTGTGTGTGTGTGTGAGGGTGGGGGTGGCTGTGGGTACAAGCAATATGTAATCAATTAATTTTGATTTGAACGTATTTATATTTATACACAACATAGAAAATACCAAAAATGACAATCAGTTATCACATGTTAGAAACGACAGCTAAAGTGATCAATTTTCCCGCATCTCTAATGGGATACGGTTTAATGTATATCTAAATTTCAAATTAATCTGAAGGGCAGGATTCCACATATGTTAATTATCCACTGAGTAGGTTATACACTGCTGAATTACTAATTTTTCAATATCCATTAATCTAGACATTTTTCATTTCTGAATAAAACCAAATTCTAATGGGACAGGGTTTTATATATCTATATTACCGACATATCTAACGGGACAGAGTTTAATATATATATTACCGACTTATCTAACGGGACGGGGAGTTACATATCTATATTACCGACTTATCTAACAGGACGGGGTATATATATATATATATATATATATATATATATATATATATATATATATATATCTAACCGACTTATCTAACAGTATATATATATTACCGACTTATCTAACGGGATGGGGTTTGATATATCTATATTACCGACTTATCTAACGGGACGGGGTTTTATATATCTATATTACCGACTTATCTAACGGAAAAAAGTTTTATATATCTATATTACCGACTTATCTAACGGGACAGGCATTTATACATCTATATTACCGACATATCTAACGGAAAAAAGTTTTATATATCTATATTACCGACTTATCTAACGGGACAGGCATTTATACATCTATATTACCGTCTTATCTAACGGGACGGGGTTTTATATATCTATATTACCGACTTATCTAACGGGACAGGCATTTATACATCTATATTACCGACATATCTAACGGAAAAAAGTTTTATATATCTATATTACCGACTTATCTAACGGGACAGGCATTTATACATCTATATTACCGACTTATCTAACGGGACGGGGTTTTATTAATCTATATTACCGACTTATCTAACGGGACGGGGTTTTATATATCTATAATACCGACTTATCTAACGGGACGGGAATTTACATATCTATACTACCGGCTTTTCTAACGGGACGGGGTTTTATATATCTATATTACCGACTTATTTAACGGGACAAGGTTTTATATATCTATATTACCGACATATCTAACGGGAAAAAGTTTTATATATCTATATTACCGACTTATCTAACGGTACAAGGTTTTATATGTATTAAACATATTTAATTGCAAAAATTATTACAACCGGATTAGGTACAAGTTATTACAACTTATGAAACACCCTTTCCCCAATATATAACAAAATATAGTTAGATAACGCAAAAGCCATATGGCAACAAATACACTAACTATATATTTTGAGAGAGAGAGAGAGAGAGAGAGAGAGAGAGAGAGAGAGAGAGAGAGAGAGAGAGAGAGAGAGAGAGAGAGAGAGAGAGAGAGAGAGAGAGAGGGTAGTTTAGGCGGATGACGTCAAGTGAACCTATTACTAGATTTAATAAAGTTTTGGACATTCAAAAAAATTTTCGAGTTTGTTTCAAAAGAAAGATCATTATTACCATACAATATCAAATCTAAATCACAATGTATGGGTAAATCATCTAAATGTTGAAAAAAAAACATTTCTTTGTAATTTATAATGACAACACATAAAGAAAAAATGATAAGAATTTACACACAAATGTCCACAAGAACAACTGGGGGTATCCACAAGGTTTATCCTGAATAAATCATAATTTAAAGAACTGCATTGGTGTCTAAGTTTCGTTAGTATGCTATTTAATTTACGGTCACCTATCCCAAAATGAGAAGGTGGAGAAATGTGATCGATAGGTTTTAGAGACTTTTTTTAAAACACTTAAAGAGGATGACGACCTGATTGAGTTATCCAGATTATTCCAACAACGCATAGTAGACGGCAAGAAAGAAGAATCAGTTGTAGAAAGACGGAAAAAGGAATTCTATAATTATTACTATTTCTCAAAGAATATTGAGCTTGATCTTGTACAGTAGAGGAAAGTAACGAGGAAAGGTATTCAGGTGTTTGGTTAGTATGCATTTTGTAGAAGAGTTGAAGTTTTCTTCTTTTCCTTCTAGAAGACAAAGTTTCTAAACCCGTTTCAAAATTCAAAGCATGAATACTAGCATAAGAAGGAAGGCCTGTAATAATTCTAGCTGCTTCACGTTGGGCTTTTTCTAATTGTTCAGATTCCAAATTTGAACAACCATCCCACAATTCGCAAGCGTATTCTAGAACGGGTAATATAAAAGTACGATAAATTCTTAAAGGGCATCCCGTTTTAATACAAATTTCAATTTTCTTAAAACATTTATTTTTTTCATAACAGATGAGTAAATCACTTCAATATGATCCCCCCATTTAATACTTGAGTTGAGAATAACACCTAGATGTCTGTGACTATTAGTGAAATCTAAAATATTTCCATCAAATTCTAATTCTAATAAACCTTCTATTTCATTATCATTAGAGATGAAAAGTACATCCGTTTTGTCAGGATTAAAGTTACAAGCCATGTTTTAGCCCATGAATTAAGAGATTCAAGGTCTTTGTTAAGGATAGTTTGAATTTCTTGATAGGAGGAAGAAGAACATTGGAGAGAAGTGTCATCCGCGAAAAGTCTTGAAGCTGAATCAAATACATCTGCTATATCATTAATATAAATCAGAAACAAAAGAGGGCCAAGAATAGAACCCTGTGGAACCCCAGCATCTATAAAACCTAATTTAGAAAAAGACCCATTAACACATACTTTTTGATGTCTCTGATGTAAATAGTCCTTCCACCAAGCCAATAGCTCTCCGTCTATTCCATAGGATTTTAACTTAATAAACAAACCTTTATGCCAAACTCTATCAAAAGCTTTTGAGATGTCACAAAAGACGATACATGTATGTTTTTTTTCTTCGAGTGCTAGACATATATTATGATACATTTCAATCACTTGATATAAAGTAGAATGTGCGGGCAAGAAACCAGACTGATATTGATAAAACAACGAATTTTCTATGAAATAATTATAGATATGATTGAAAACTACACGTTCGAAAACTTTGCCAACAGTAGACAGTAGAGATATTGGCCTGTAGTTAGAAGGAGAGTGTCCATCACCCTTTTTAAACAACGGTTTTATATATCTATATTACCGACATATCTAAAGGGACAGAAAGTTAAATATCTATATTACCGACTTATCTAACGGGACGGGAATTTACATATCTATACTACCGACTTATCTAACGTGACGGGGTTTTATTTAAGTATGGAACTGCTTTCAATTGGCTGTCAAGGGCTGATGAATGCCAGCCCATGAATGCCAATTGAAAGCAATTCAATGCTTGTACTCATCATTTGTGATTTTAATTCCATATTCACTATTTTTTAGAATTCAAAATTTCCCCCTTCATCGTCTACGAGATCTATGAACAAACATATCGTATACTTCAGCGTAAAAAATAGTGAGTTGAAAAATAGACCTCACATCGAAAATAATCTGTGCAATAAAACATTTCAATACACATCAACAAAGCTCTTATGCCGAATACAATGTTTAAGTTAAGTTTCTTCTGCAAAAGATAATTTCACAAAATATTTTGAGAAACCGCGGATGTGTGCATACCGCTAGTACTAGCTGTATAATGGAGAGTCCCAAGCATCCACGTGTTTACGGTTTACGAGCTGTGAAAGTTGAATACACAGCGTTCAAACGAAGAACTGGTGAAAAAACCTGGTGTTGCCATAACATTATTTGTGTTGACATTCACTTGGCTGTTTGAATGAAGTGCTACAGTATCACATTTAGGCTGCATCGTGTCAGAGGGCGACAGTGATCGTAAGCAGACGGTGGAATAATCCGAAGCTAGGTAGCGTTTTACATTTAAAATTCATTAATAAATTTCATGTTACATTTCTATTTTAATACATCTTTTAAAATTATGGACAAATGTCAAATATCGCAATGTAACTGCACAAGGGGAGGTAACCTAAATTTATTGACATTACTGTTAAAATTCATACGCCAGTTGGCAGATATAATTTGATAACGCACAACTGAGTTTGGTAATGTCATATAGTGGCAATGCCAAACGATGGTAAATATATATATATATATTACCGACATATCTAACGGGACGGGGAGTTATATATCTATATTACCTATCGACTTATCTAACGGGATAGGGTTTTATTAATCTATATTACCTACCGACTTATCTAACGGGACAAGGCGTTAAAAAATTATATTACCGACTTATCTAACGGGATGGGGTTTGATATATCTATATTACCGACATATCTAACGGGACGGGGTTTTATATATCTATATTACCGACTTATCTAACGGGACGGGGTTTTATATATATATATTACCGACTTATCTAACGGGACGGGGTTTTATATATCTATATTACCGACTTATCTAACGGGAAGGGGTTTTATACATCTATATTACCGACTTATCTAACGGGACGGGGTTTTGTATATATATATTACCGACTTATCTAACGGGACAAGGTTTTATATATCTATATTACCGACTTATCTAACGGGATGGGATTTTATATATCTATATTACCGACATATCTAACGGGACGGGAAGTTATATATCTATATTACCGACTTATCTAACGGGACGGGGTTTTATATATCTATATTACCGACATATCTAATGGGACGGGGATTTATATACAGTACACTGCTAGAGTGCACTGTATCTGTATATCTGTGAAATTTCCAATAATCTAAATAGATTAAATATCACATTCATCCGTTCAACGTTTACTTAAAATGACAAAGTCTTATAGTTTTGAAAAAAAAAAAAAATTCCAGGTGATCAAAAGTCAAAACTCACTTATCTGAAGGGGTTCGATGCTTATTGTTCATAACTACATGTAGCGGTTCGAGTATAAAACATTTCCTTATTTTTTCAAATTGCTCATACTTGGTAAAGTATCTCATTTCTTTATCATTAATCTAACGCAGTTTTACAACGATTTATCTTCATTTCCCCGGCAAAGAAACAGCTTGGCATTACTTACTTGTCTGACGGAACAAGGAGTTCATTCTTGTTAACATTCGGTTTTTTCGGGCCTAAGACTAGGTTGTTCGTAACAGTGATGTCGGTTTCCAGGCCATCCTCAAAGAAGATACCATGACCCATAGGAAATAAACACGCAGTGTCCTTCACCTACATATCAAAATATTCATAACGTGGTATTACTGGGATAGTATAACTTCTTATCAACAGCATCCAAGTAAACATCATCACAAGGACTATCACCGTGGCCAGAAATAAGTTTGATATGGTTCCTATTTTCCATCGCGAAAGATACAAACTATGCAGATTCAAGTGTAGTAATCCATCACATTACATTTGTAACTATCTATATGTACATATATACACTCCCATCAGCCGACAAACCATCGCATCAGCAGTTTACTCTTCTGAAAAATAAGAAGCCATTTCGAATCTGCATTGCAATTTTCTATTAATGAACAAATGTAAAGAGTACAATGTAAATGACGCATTAGAATACATCGGTAAAATTACTACATAAAGATATCGTAGGTTTGGTACATACAGTCAAGCTACTAGTGCGATGGATGGTGACACATCGGGCGTACGTGTCGTGGATAGATAATGATTCCACTTTAGCTTTCCCTTCTACATTCCCTGCCAAGTGAAAATGGATCGGATAACGACCTGGAAAATAGAATTCCGAGTTAAGAGAATGATCTGATATATACAAGTACTAGGCACAATTTATATACCTTATCGTCATTAAGGTAGGGTCTGTATACCTTATTGTCATTAAGGTAGGGTCTGTATACCTTATCGTCATTAAGGTAGGGTCTGTATACCTTATCGTCATTAAGGTAGGGTCTGTATACCTTATCGTCATTAAGGTAGGGTCTGTATACCTTATCGTCATTAAGGTAGGGTCTGTATACCTTATCGTCATTAAGGTAGGGTCTGTATACCTTATTGTAGAAACCAACGGTTAATTTCTTACTTAGGTTTCAACAGAACAAAATGTGTGTCCCTGTTTATACAAACCAGTGATGTATTTGCCAATGTGTCAACAGAACAACATATGTGTACCTGTTTATACAAACCAGTGATGTTTTTACCAACGTGTAAACAGAACAACATATGTGTACCTGTTTATACAAACCAGTGATGTATTTACCAATGTGTCATCTGTGCAACACTTTGCCAACTTTGTTGTATTATTTTACAACACGTAACCACATATTCTCAAAATATGCATTTAAGGACTTGTCTGTGATGTTTAGCTTTGTATTATTTTACAACACGTAACCACATATTCTCAAAATATACATTTAAGGACTTGTCTGTGATGTTTAGAGACTGAAGCCGTTTTAGTATTTATCTGTAAAATGTGATATCCATAATTCGATGAAGTGATATAAATGTATTGCTATCAATAATGCGAATAACTTGAATTATTTTTTATTTTTTAAGATTATTAAATTGATATATTATTGTATTAATGATACTAAAAATTCTGGACTTTTAGTGATGATAATAAGTCATTGAACAATATCATTAAATTGATTTAGTGATATAAATAATTCTGTATATTTTATAAAAAGTATATGGTAACAGATGTCAAAAAATGAATGGTTGATTAAAAAATTCGAATTAATGACATCAGCAAATCTCCGGAATGATTGATACTATAAATTCAAATTATTGATAACCATAATCTGAACGTATGATATTGATAGTTTTTTACTTTTAGTGATATGAAGTCGTTTTTCACGTTTATGATTCATTTACTGATATCAGTGATAACGTATAATCAATAATATTAATAAATGTATTGAATGGTGTCAATACTTTTAAGGGTCATTAAACCGTATTATTGATATCTATATTTTATTTAATGATATCAATAATTCAAATTAATGACATTAATTATTAAAATTTGTCCTGTCAATATTTTGAATTAATTATATTAATAAATGAGTTTGTGACATCAATGATTCAAATTAGTGATATCACATTTTGTATTAAAATAATTAAACGACGCTTAATTGAAAAAATTATAATGTTGAAGTATACCAATAAAAAAGTAATGTGTAATGAAAGAGGTGCTTTAAACCCATAAGAAAGTACATTTTCAATATTTGATTATTTTAACAGAATATCAAGTAAACTTGTTTGAGATTTTGTGTACATTTCCTACTTGAATATTTCCATCGTCTTTCCATCATTGGTTTACTTAACATTATTTTTGTTAGATAATCATTGTGCACATTTCAGTGGGTACCTTCCCCTTTCAATAAGGATCATTCGATGAGCTCGGAATGCTTTAATCTGTTTCCGTATTCCGATAGTAATTAAAGCAACATCATCATTGTTTGATTTACAAACTGATATTATTTATCATTTTATTCAGGAATTCAGGAATATTCAATCACTCGATTCTTTACAGCTATTGAATTGATGGTCGTGAACGTTCGATTTATTGGAAAGAGGCTAGCAATATATAATATGAGACGGAAAATAACTTACCCAAAACTTTTTGTTGGCCCATCAGATTTAGTTCAAAGTCGTGAAAGTTACAGCTTGTGAAGCCCTCAACACACTGTATGATGATACAAAAATATTACAAGATACAAGTTAATAACACCGTTTGTACTATTGTATTGTAAATCTAATAATGCTAATGAAGAAAAAAGAATCATTGATTTAAATAAAGCATTTTTTACGATAACATTTGAATATATAATATTTGCATTCGTCCTGCTTCTTTGGAACTGTTTACTTCGGATCACTTTTTGAAGAAGTTGAATTCATGGTTTGTGGATTATAAAGAACTCAAAAGATCTTTTGACAAATTTTTAAAAACTCTTCTGAAAAAAATCTTCTGTAAGAACGTTTGATTTTTCACACTGTACACCATTATACCCCATTGTTAACTGAGAGAGCACTTGAGTTCTCTTGTTATGGGGTTTTACTGCTATTAAGAAAGTGAACAGCGGTATAAATATATGGTTGTGAATTGTACTGAACCAATTATCCTGCGTTCCTAACATGTGGTGTTTCCCAAGGGCCGGTATCCAAAATCACGCATTCGTGGAAGATATCGTCAACTGACATACAAACTTATAACAAAGGGTTTCAAGAGATGCTGATAGAAAAAGAATATGGAGAAGTTTTACGGTCATCATACAGCTGTCAGGGAAAGTAACCTTTTTATATTTTCGATATGAAGCTGGACGTGCTTGATGTTAGTTTGGCTGTTGGTTTTTCGTTGCATATTTGCCATAGTTTTACGATCGTCATATAGCTGTCAGGGAAAGTAATCTTTTTATATTTTCGATATGAAGCTGTACGTGCTTGATGTTAGTTTGGCTGTTGGTTTTTCGTTGCATATTTGCCATAGTTTTACGATCGTCATATAGCTGTCAGGGAAAGTAATCTTTTTATATTTTCGATATGAAGCTGTACGTGCTTGATGTTAGTTTGGCTGTTGGTTTTTCGTTGCATATTTGCCATAGTTTTATTGAATTTGAGTTTTGATTATGATTTTGTTGTCATGCTGGTATTTTCTTGTTGTTTCCATTTTCCGGCAAAGAAAGTGCATGGGTCGTGCGGAAAGATACAAGTTGTAACAACTGTGCACCGTTGTGATCATTAGTATACTGTACATATGTTCACGCGTAAAACAATTGTCACTTATTCAACTATTTTCACATAGCTAATGGGAGGCTAACAGACGTCTTGTGAAATGGGATCTGCTCTGTCGGTCGGATTTTTATAGTGCGATATAAATTATATAAATTGAAAACGAAAGTAAAAACATTCAAAATGTAAGATCTTAAATTAAAATTACGAAATCTTTTTTTTCTTTTCTTTTTCTTTTCTTTTTTTGTTTCGTTTTTGTTTGTTTTTATTTTTTGTTTGTTTTTGTTTTTGTTTTATTTTTCTTTTGATGCTGGTGAAGAATGAAAAAAGAATAAAGAAAATACCAAAATGGCAAGATCATCATAATTCAAACTGAAATTCCATAATATGCGCTAAAGAAACATTAACATGGAGACTCTTGAAAAATCACAAGGAGAATAAGACCAGGTGTTCCGGAAGAGTAGGTGTCTTCTGCTTCATCGACCACACATGTAAACCTTGTTCAAGTAATGCCACGTTCTTAAATGAGAACAAGGTATACAACAATGGAACCAACAGTCAAACTAACGAGCATCAAATATGTTCCAGCAATGGAACTAGAGCTAACACATATTCCAATATGAGTTTGTACATGTAAGATAGCTAAATTACTGCAAGGGCAATTGAAATTTCAGTGAAGTAATTTTTGAAATTGTTATAGTAAATATAAGGATTGATTTTCTATTTAGTAAGTTGCATGTATTAATGAAGGAAAATGAGTCTGGTGCAAATTGTACACGAAATGCCCCGCACTCTATTTTATTTGCACTGGGTTCACTCCCCTTCATCGGTCCATGCAGTCAACAATAAAGGACAATCAACTATTAAAAGTGAGTACTTGCTAGGTCAACACAGAATAAGTTTAGCAAGAAACATGTTTATCTCAAAAGTAGCAACCATCTTTTTTTACGAATTTCCAAATTATCAGTTTTAACAACAACAACAACAACAACAACAACAACAACAACAACAACAACAACAACAACAACAACAACAACAACAACAACAACAACAACAACAACAACAGTAAGTGATGCCTTGGTTACCTACCAAAGCGTTACATCTATCAGATATGTATTGTCTAAGGAAACTTGTAATCAATAAATGTTTTATTATTTACCTTGATATGTCCGCCATAATTATCCTCACCAGATGATTCCCCTTCGATTTTGACATTACGGGTGATGAGTGCAACCTCGGCGCACATAGGAACACCCTTGTAAGTTTTACACAAATGTTCGTGCTCGGCGGCTACTGCAATAAATGCAGAAAAACACAAAGATGTGATTTTGTAATATTTGTAATCACAGATTTAGCGTGTATTTATATTTTGCAACTAGAACGTATTTGCAACTTCAATTAATATGTATATTATCGGTGTCAGAAACTTCTAAACGAAAACACGCCAAACATACACATGCCAGATAAAAAGAGAGTGTTAGGACATTTGTTTCAAATGCAATAAATATTTAAATTAGTAAGAATAAAGATTGAATCAAATGAAACAGAAAGTGTGAGAAATCCTGGATATTAGATAATAATTAAGAATTATGAAAAACTAAAATTATACAATAAACAGAGATAGGATAAACCATTACAAAAATACCATGTATGATTATTAGCATGAGTTTTTATTGCATTTTAACTTACAGTCGATATTGATACGATTTCCACCCAAATTGTCCAAGACTGTGGCAAACTCATAATCATCTGGTTTCATCGAAGGTGATGTAATTACTATTCGGTCGTCTGAAAACCAAAACAAATGCTTAATACTTAAGTGACTTTGGTGTATCAGTAGTTTCAGTATACACAATTTTCTACTTCTAAATGGAGTTGATGTTCTTATCACAAATTTTAGATAACCTATTTTGTATGTCATATTGTAGTACATTTATTCATATATTTTAATTAGAAATAACAACAAAAAACAAAAAAAGATATTACCGATTTGACTCTAAAGTGGGCGGAGCGTCTACGTTAATAATAGTTGAAAGGGGCGTTTTGATGTGAGAGGCCGTTTCAAACAAAATTGTGCAGTTCTTAGTGTGTTGAATTGAGCTGATTTTGCGCTTGTTATATCACTTTTAGTCTCGAATTATTTCAGGAAGTGATAGTATATTCCTTTTTATATATAAACATGGGATTAGATCTTAAATTTCGGTTTCAACACGAGAAGACTTTATTTTCCTATTCATATTGATCATACAAGTCTATCAATTTTGTATGTATTCACTGTATGTATTCATTGTATGTATGGATGTGGGTGTGGGTGTGTATGTATTATAAGTTCATACTGTTTGTTACACCGTTTGTTCCTGAAGGAGGATGACTTAAATGTGACTTACCCGCCGTTCAATTATATTGACAATTAAACTTTCATCAAATTAAATTTTATTGAATCTCTCCTTCAGTCATTAACGATGTAGAAACTCCACCCATTTTCCAGTCAAGTGGATAGATTCGGATCAGGATGTAGGTCGAGGCATAAATAAATAAATTTGATGAAGCATAAAAACAATAATGCTCTCCCCTAATGAAAAAATCTTAATCTTCTGATGATTATTATATGGCGCCAATAGAACGCACATTCTGTAAATCGGAAACTGAAGAAAAAATAACAGGATCAAAAATTTTGTTGCATATTTACCTTTTTGCCAGTTAGTGTCGTCGGCAAGCTCAAGTGTTAAATGTGAATTTTCGCGAAGTACCACCTGAACTTTTGAATAGGATCGGTTGTGGTTCTTTTTTCTGTTAGAACTCAGGGCGCGAAAACTGTATTTCCCGAAATACTTTGCAACTGCATTTACAGTAAAGAAGTCAGTTCCTGTATAACTTATTGCTGATTCTTGGAAACTTCCTGGATCACCTTCAAATTATATTGAGAAATAAAGTATGAACATATTAAAAAGATCTAAATATTGTTTAAATTACTACCGTCTTTAGTGGTAAATTATGTGAAAGAAACATTTAAGCAAAAGTCTATCGAACTATAAGGGGAAACATATGACTACAAAGCTAGAATGAGAAATCTGGGACGTGATTCTTAGGTCTAGTAGCCAATTAAAGAAGTAATGTTACATAGTACTATTGCATTAAATACATTGTTTTTAAAGAATTAGAGAAACTCTTGTCATTGTTAGTTACAACGAAATCTAGGATTCATTGTTTGCATCATAGATAAAGTTTTGTGCTTATGCACAAATGTACTGTGATGTCAACTTATCAATTTTTGATAACGCAATATTCAAACTTCATTCATGCAAAAGGTCTTTGACAGTGTTAATCACTGAATGACAAAGCAATTCTGTATTTTTTTACTTGGTGAACTTCTTTGGAATAGATACAAAAATATGACTTTACGTAAATTACTTACCTTTCTGTATTATGAAAGCATAGCTGTCGTAAAAAAGCAGTTTGCTGAAATCAGATTTTTCTCCGTCCTTTTTACCTAGAAATTTATCAAATACGTCGAATACTTTCTGAAGCCAATTTTGTGGTACTCTCTTTTCAGGGTCTCTTGCGACAAATGACTTCCGCAACACACCAGTGACGACGAATTTATCAGGAATGTCTGCAAATTAATTGTGATATTTTCTTAAACCCGTCGAAGACTTGTTGACTATGTACTGTACAAATACCAAAATTAACATTTTAACACATTGACAAAAATAAAACTTTATAACAAGTTATAAGATTATATGTAACATTTTCTTGGATAGCACGTTGTAATAATAACAACTAGTTTCAATACTGAGAGGCATGTCCTGGTAGTTTATAAACTCAAAATTTTGTATGCAACTATTCTGAAAATAGCATAAATATACATATCACTTTTCAACAAAACCATATAGATGAGTACTCTCTCTCTCTCTCTCTCTCTCTCTCTCTCTCTCTCTCTCTCTCTCTCTCTCTCTCTCTCTCTCACGCACAGACATGCTAATCAAATGCTGACTCTAATTTAAAGCTTAGGCTTTAATCGCATTAAAATGACTAAATAATATCATATGTTTATATCTAAAAATAAATTTACATTAGCTTGAAATAATTTTTTTTTTCAAATATCCACATCAAAAATCTAGTTAAGGATGTACTCCTCGTAGAAGTTAAAAAAAATCCAGTATTAAACTTTTTTTTCTAATGGAGATTTATCGAAATATTTGAAAAATACCATATTGCTGCAATGCTTTTTCTGGTACCGACGTCAGAATATGTGTAATATGAAATAAATGAATTCCATATTTTATTCTTATCTATTTTCCTGAATAACACACATTCTCTGTTATTTTCGCGAAATTTAAAAGAAATATATATTTCGTCCTTCATTACAAAGTAAGGGTATGAAACTTGGATATTGAGAAAAAACATGTTTTCAAGTTTGTTTTCATTTAATTAAACGAGCTGTAACTTGCATAATATTGAAATGTTCCAAAATGCAAATTTTCCATTTGATCATCTTCGAGCATTTGACTTTTTAAAGACTTTATGGTTTGATAGAGAACTTTTCGAGGATAATTTTCATGAAAAGAGGTGGTCTCTGTGCTACAATTTGCACCCAAACAGCTTGTTTTTCCTAGATAAAAAAACCAGTTGAAATATCTATTTTCGGATGCTAAAAATCCGGAGAAGTTGTAACGAAGTTGGAATTCATAAATTTGAAATCTGTGACTTGTGATGATAAAAATAAATTAAAAAACAACCGAAGACTTCCATAGTTAAACTCAAGAGAACTACTTAAAACAAAAAAGAAAAAAAAATGAAATTGTTAACGCTATTAACCGAATCACGCAATGAACGACACCATCAAAAAGTGTACTCAACGAGCGAAATGTCTTCAAAGCGTCATGTAAATCGCCCGTTTTCAAGTACAAGTTTTACGAAATAACAGACAATAATCCAAGATATTCTGTCAGTCTTCTTTTTTTTATTGAATAATATCTTACTTCCGGTTAAAAATCATAGGAGTACATAGAAATATCGTGTTTCGAATTTCATAAAGGTCGTTAAAACTTACCAGTTAAGTATTTTTCGAATCTGTTAACTTCATCATCAAAGCTTTTCTCCTTTCGTTGATTGAATTTGAACGCCTCTTCCTTTACATTTTGATCAGTAAATTTGTCCAATGTTAAATCAAATTGGTACAGGATAAAGCCTTGCAAATTTTCTTCTTGTGTTACCTTAAGTAAAAAGAATGATAGAGATCAGTTGTGCGATAAACTACCTGAAATAATTTACTTGAAATTGGATGTAATTAACACGGATGTATTGGACTTTTTTCAAAACTTAAAACCAGGTGTTTTGATTTTCTTTCATTTAAGTAACATAATACCCCATTACCATGTTTTTTATACTGATAAGTCACCGTGTAGTTGGTGCCTATCCCTGTGGATTTACCTCTTTTGAATATTCTGCCTTTGGCATCTTGTGTATTGTTTCCTTCAGTTTAGTTGATGACATTTTCTTTTTACCATATATATTCAGTCCACCTCCACTAGATACACCTATGAACTTATCACCAAAATCGTCTTTTGCAACATTGTAACCTGGATTTCTCTGACCTGTAACAGTGGGTAAGTCATACACAATTAATCAAATAAGACTGCGAAATCTGCAAATCATACTGACAATATAACTTGCATTCTTCAAAGCGGCAGTATTCTGATTCCATGGTAATGGATTGCATGTATACTCAAAACCAATGTTGATAGAATATTTAATGGTGTCTTCAGTAATAACAAATATATTTCACTCTAATATGTTATACCTTTCACTCGTGCTGCGCTAGTATTCGAATTGAGGACCACTGGCTTAGCAGTATCACGACCAATGGATCGAGCTACAGAGAAGTTCTCTCTAGCCCAGCCGTATATTGCGTCTTGCAGTGTGAAATATATTTATTACTGAAGACGCTATCAAATGTAAATGTAAAAGAAAAAGAAAATGTGATACTGTACATGAATAATTAACTCATTACAGTTTTACGATTAAATGCTCCTTTCAGATAATTAGTGCTGGAAATTGGAAAATGTATAGATCGAATACTTTGGTTCAACGACAAAAATAAAAACTGTTATTAATTAATATTGTACTGCATCTGCATGTAACAAATGGGTTTTATGTCAAAACCGACAAAAAACAAATTAACTTATATTCTTTGGACTTACCAAGAAGCCGGATGGTCAGATTACCGGTATACCGACAGTTTTCATTTCCGATATCCATACGGCCACCTTTCTCTATGAGGATGTATTTGCTCTGGAGGAGAAGCGTTTTGTTATACTTAAATACCAACTGTCCACCTTCGGCTATTGTGATTCCCGCATATTTAACATCTTCACCATACTCGTCATACAGGATTTTCTCGGAGACTGTAACTTTATCACCATCCTTATTACCCTGCAAATATTCAATAGGGTCAGTAGGCATTGTAATTTAATAAATGATTCATTCGGTAACCTATCGGAATAATAAACCCCTTGTTGTAGATGGCGATAAGAGGTCCAAATAAAGAAATATACGAGAGAAGAAATGGTTAAAGTGATCGAATCTCTATCAGAGTTCAGTCGAGATTTACCAACCGACTGCTCTTTTGGTTGGCTTGCTGTTGCATTCATACGAGGATGAACTTATCAATTTATGATTTAGCTTATTCATTTTGCTTAAAAAGGCCTTGAAAGTCCTTCCATTTCATTTTCTAAAATATTTATGATCTCTTGCGTTTAGGTAGCAAGAATTCCATCGCATAAAGTCACAGAAAATGTAGCTCAAGGACACGACAGACTCTTTTACATGAACATCTTACCTCGATCTTTTCCTACAATGAAATCAACATATGCGGCTACATTTACAAAGCTACATAATAAGCCGAATAATTTCAATTAAACTTTGGTGGATTTTTCATATCTGGAGAGCACTTTTCCTGTATCCTTAGTCTATGGTGTTTAAATGTCGCGGAAAATTCGATATTTGAGGACTTGTTCTCAGTATCACTAATCTCGCGCAAGACCCAGCAACTGACAGAAAAAATCACAACACCGTTTCGGGAGATGTAGGTGGATGAAAATAATGGGATAGCATATCGGTTATAATAATCATATTGGGAAATATTCTATTTCCTTATCAGCAAAATAAGACTCCGTAGAACAACCATAAGCGATATAAGTAAACCTTCTCAGAACCAGGGCTGTACTACAAACTAAACCTTCTCAGAACCAAGGCTGTACTACAAACTAAACCTTCTCATAACCAAGGCTGTACTACAAACTAAATCGTCTCAGAACCAAGGTTGTGTTACAAACTAAACATTATCATAACCAAGGCTGTACTACAAACTAAATAGTCTCCGAACCAGCGTTGTGCTACAAACTAAACCTTTTTAAAAACCAGGACGGTACTATCAACTAAACCCTCTCAGAACCAGTGCTGTACTACAAACAAAACCTTCTCAGAACCAAGGACGTACGACAAACTAAACCTTCTCATAACCAAGGCTGTACTACAAACTAAACCTTCTCAGAACCAAGGCTGTACTACAAACTAAACCTTCTCAGAACCAGGGCTGTACTATAAACTAAACCTTCTCATAACCAAGGCTGTACTATAAACTAAACCCTCTCAGAACCAAGGCTGTACTCATAACCAAGGCTGTACTACAAACTAAACCTTCTCAGAACAAGCGCTGCACTAAAAACTAAACCTTCTCAGAACCAAGGCTGTACTACAAACTAAACCTTCTCAGAACCAAGGCTGTACTACAAACTAAACCTTCTCATAACCAAGGCTGTACTACAAACTAAACCTTCTCAGAACCAGGGCTGTACTATAAACTAAACTTTCTCAAAACCAAGGCTGTACTACAAACTAAACCTTCTCAGAACCAAGGCTGTACTACAAACTAAACCTTCTCATAACCAAGGCTGTACTACAAACTAAACCTTCTCAGAACCAAGGCTGTACTACAAACTAAATCGTCTCAGAACCAGGCTGTACTACAAACTAAACCTTCTCAGAACCAAGGCTGTGCTACAAACTAAACCTTCTCAGAACCAAGGCTGTGCTACAAACTAAACCTTCTCAAAACCAAGGATGTACTATAAACTCAACATTCTCAGAACCAAGGCTGTGCTACAAACTAAACCTTCTCAGAACCAAGGCTGTGCTACAAACTAAACCTTCTCAGAACCAAGGCTGTACTACAAACTAAACCTTCTCAGAACCAAGGCTGTGCTACAAACTAAACCTTCTCAGAACCAAGGCTGTACTACAAACTAAACCTTCTCAGAACCAAGGCTGTGCTACAAACTAAACCTTCTCAAAACCAAGCCTGTACTACAAACTAAACCTTCTCAGAACCAAGGCTGTACTACAAACTAAACCTTCTCAGAACCAAGGCTGTACTACAAACTAAACCTTCTCAGAACCAAGGCTGTACTACAAACTAAATCGTCTCAGAACCAAGGCTGTGCTACAAACTAAACATTCTCATAACCAAGGCTGTACTACAAACTAAATAGTCTCCGAACAAGCGCTGTGCTACAAACTAAACATTTTCAAAAACCAAGGCTGTACTACAAACTAAACCTTCTCAGAACCAGTGCTGTACTACAAACTAAACCTTCTCAGAACCAAGGCTGTACTACAAACTAAACCCTCTCAGAACCAAGGCTGTACTACAAACTAAACCCTCTCAGAACCAAGGCTGTACTACAAACTAAACCTTCTCAGAACCAAGGCTGTACTACAAACTAAACCTTCTCAGAACCAAGGCTGTACTACAAACTAAACCCTCTCAGAACCAAGGCTGTACTACAAACTAAACCTTCTCAGAACCAAGGATGTACTACAAACTAAACCTTCTCAGAACCAAGACTGTACTACAAACTAAATCGTCTCGAAACCAAGGCTGTACTACAAACTAAACCTTCTCAGAACCAAGGCTGTACTATAAACTAAACCTTCTCAGAACCAAGGCTGTACTACAAACTAAACCTTCTCAGAACAAGCGCTTCACTAAAAACTAAACTTTCTCAAAACCAAGGCTGTACTATAAACTCAACCTTCTCAGAACCAGTGTGTACTACAAACTAAACCTTCTCAGAACCAAGGCTGTACTACAAACTAAACCTTCTCATAACCAAGGCTGTACTATAAACTAAACCTTCTCAAAACCAAGGCTGTACTACAAACTAAATCGTCTCAGAACCAAGGCTGTACTACAAACTAAACCTTCTGAGAACCAGTGCCATACTACAAACTAAACCTTCTCAGAACCAAGGCTGTACTACAAACTAAACCTTCTCAGAACCAGGGCTGTACTATAAACTAAACCTTCTCATAACCAAGGCTGTACTATAAACTAAACCTTCTCAAAACCAAGGCTGTACTACAAACTAAACCCTCTCAGAACCAAGGCTGTACTACAAACTAAACCTTCTCAGAACCAAGGCTGTACTACAAACTAAACCTTCTCAGAACCAAGGCTGTACTACAAACTAAACCTTCTCAGAACCAAGGCTGTACTACAAACTAAATCGTCTCAGAACCAGGACTGTACTATAAACTAAACCTTCTCAGAACCAAGGCTGTACTACAAACTAAACCTTCTCAGAACCAAGGATGAACTACAAACTAAACCTTCTCCGAACCAAGGCTGTACTATAAACTAAACCCTCTCAGAACCAAGGCTGTGCTACAAACTAAACCGTCTCAGAACGAAGGCTGTACAACAAACTAAACCTTCTCAGAACCAAGGCTGTATTACAAACTAAACCTTCTCAGAACCAAGGCTGTACTACAAACTAAATCGTCTCGGAAACAAGGCTGTGCTACAAACTAAACATTCTCATAACCATGGCTGTACTACAAACTAAATCTTCTCAGAACCAGGGCTGTACTATAAACTAAACCTTCTCATAACCAAGGCTGTACTATATATTTAACCTTCTCATAACCAAGGCTGTACTACAAGCTAAACCTTATGAGAACCAGTGCTATACTACAAACTAAACCTTCTCAGAACCAAGGATGAACTACAAACTAAACCTTCTCAGAACCAAGGCTGTACTACAAACTAAACCTTCTCAGAACCAGTGCTGTACTTCAAACTAAACCTTCTCAGAACCAAGGATGAACTACAAACTAAACCTTCTCAGAACCAAGGCTGTACTACAAACTAAACCTTCTCAGAACCAAGGCTGTACTACAAACTAAACCTTCTCAGAACCAAGGCTGTACTACAAACTAAACCTTCTCATAACCAAGGCTGTACTACAAACTAAACCTTCTCAGAACAAGCGCTGCACTAAAAACTAAACTTTCTCAAAACCAAGGCTATACTATAAACTCAACCTTCTCAGAACCAAGGCTGTACTACAAACTAAACCTTCTCAGAACCAAGGCTGTACTACAAACTAAACCTTCTCAGAACCAAGGCTGTACTACAAACTAAACCTTCTCAGAACCAAGGCTGTACTACAAACTAAACCTTCTCAGAACCAAGTCTGTACTACAAACTAAACCTTCTCAGAACCAAGGCTGTACTATAAACTAAACCCTCTCAGAACCAAGGCTGTGCTACAAACTAAACCGTCTCAGAACGAAGGCTGTACAACAAACTAAACCTTCTCAGAACCAAGGCTGTATTACAAACTAAACCTTCTCAGAACCAAGGCTGTACTACAAACTAAATCGGCGCAGAACCAAGATTGTACTACAAACTAGATCTTCTCATAACCAAGGCTGTACTACAAACTAAACCTTCTCAGAACCAAGGCTGTACTACAAACTAAACCCTCTCAGAACCAAGGCTGTACTACAAACTAAACCCTCTCAGAATCAAGGCTGTACTACAAACTAAACCTTCTGAGAACCAGTGCCATACTACAAACTAAACCTTCTCAGAACCAAGGATGTACTACAAACTAAACCTTCTCATAACCAAGGCTGTACTACAAACTAAACCTTCTCAGAACCAAGGCTGTACTACAAACTAAACATTCTCAGAACCAAGGCTGTACTACAAACTAAACCTTCTCAGAACCAAGGCTGTACTACAAACTAAACCTTCTCAGAACCAAGGCTGTACTACAAACTAAACCTTTTCACAACCAAAGGTGTACTACAAACTAAACCCTTACAGAACCAAGGCTTTACTACAAACTAAACCCTCTCAGAACCAAGGCTGTACTACAAACTAAACCTTCTCAGAACCAGGGCTGTACTATAAACTAAACCTTCTCATAACCAAGGCTGTATTACAAACTAAACCTTCTCATAACCAAGGCTGTACTACAAACTAAATCTTCTCAGAACCAAGGCTGTACTACAAACTAAACCTTCTCAGAACCAAGGCTGTACTACAAACTAAACCTTCTCAGAACCAAGGCTGTACTACAAACTAAACCTTCTCAGAACCAAGGCTGTACTAC